AACACTTATTTGTTTAACTTACTTGCATAAGAGCCGTGATAGCTCAGTGTCCAGGCGCTCGCCTTATTTTCTCTATTTACTCGAGCAACCTGAGTTCGATCCCCTCGTCTTATCATGTGCTCGGCGGTGAACAAAACATCGTGAGGAAATCTGCATATTTTTGAAATAACAACAAAAAAAATATTTTGTAAATATGTGAAGTCCACCAGTCCGCAGTGGGCCGCGCGGTAGACTATGCCCTGATACTCCGAACAGAGGAGTCCTTTGCCCAGCAGTGAGACATTTATAGGGTGTTATTTTACTTTATTTTTTACGTGTATAACCTGTATTTTATTCTCCAATAGTTTCAATCAGAAACTTCAGTTAGCGTTAAAGAATCATTAAACTTTTTAACTTGACGAGTTCAGTCTTAAATAGTGATTAATAAGATCCTTTTCATCAACTAAATTATGTCTGGCGCTGATCGATTAGGTACGCTGTAAGAGTGAAATGATTTTTGTATTGTGTAATACTTGGTTTCTTAAAAGTAAGGTTTATTGAGCAGTCATAAATTGGCCATAATCTAGGATTGATTTTTATTTGTCTCTGCACTCAATTTGAAACTTTAAATTTAAATTTTTTGTAGGTAAATGAACAAAAACTTGCGCTGCGGGATTCGAACTTGCGTTTTCTAGTATCGCGCCCAGCAAATACTCAGTGCCTATAGTTTTGCACAAAAATTTACAATTTAAAGTTGGCCGTATTCTTCAGAGTTCTCGTTAAAAAGAAATTCTAGCAATAATATAATGCACTTCAAATACTCCACAAGCGAGTACAATTCTCATTCACTTAATGACGTTTTGTAAGTGGATTCCATTCCTCGTCAATGCTGTTCGCCGTGTACGTATCTAGAATTTCCTCGCAGACATTACGGAGTTTAGATGAAAAGGTTGTAACTTGTATAACGAACGCCATTCAATATCGGAGTTTCTTATTCATGTAGGCAAAGTCAAGCGAGTGCTGGAACCGGTAATGTAGAGAATCTTAATTCGTATTGAAGCATTATTCGCGGCTCCGTGCCTGATGGCGTTGTACGTAGAAAGCACTGCCTCTTATTGCCGTACTTTCCAATTGTTATTTCATACCCGTTTCGTTGGCCTCCTTAAAATGTTTTCAACTACTATACTTTTGTATTCCGTACAAGTCATAGACGTTTCTCTTGTATGGAAGTTCCTTTAAGTTTAATATTTTTCGGTAAAAGCGTGTTGTATTGTTTCGAACTAATACTTTCAGCTGTTCAGTGCGCTAACGACTCTGTTGGAGATCAGCTTCTGTCTGCGACTTTGTGAAAATGAATACATAAAGGTCATATATTCATTATAAATATTAAGTATTCGTGTATTCTAAACGATGGGAAATACCCAAGTTTGCATATAAACTTGTTGAGCGTATTCGAGATAAACTTTCAGACAGACAAACAAAAATTTTAAAATAATGTCATTAACGGTCACTCATAAATAGAACTTTTCGTTTAAATTTTTTACATCTAATTTCATAGACAGACACTTGTATTTTATTTTATGGTTAATATTTACTTGTTTTTTAATCTATGCGTATTTCCTTTAATTTTTGTTTTTTTCATTAGTATGTTATAATCGTTTACTACATATTATATGTTCCAATCGTTTCGTAATTTGAAATAATATAAAAATGAATTTCTGTTTGTTAGTCTCACTACAACTCGAGAACGGCTGGATCGTTTTAGCTAATTTGACATATTTGTGGCAGTCACTCATAAATAGAACTTTTCGTTTAAATTTTTTACATCTAATTTCATAGACATACACTTGTATTTTATTTTACGGTTAATATTTACTTGTTTTTTAATCTATGCGTATTTCCTTTAATTTTTGTTTTTTTCATTAGTATGTTATAATCGTTTACTACATATTATATGTTCCAATCGTTTCGTAATTTGAAATAATATAAAAATGAATTTCTGTTTGTTAGTCTCACTACAACTCGAGAACGGCTGGATCGTTTTAGCTAATTTGACATATTTGTGGCAGTCCAGGGAAGGTTTAAAATGTAACCTGTCAAACACTTTAACTCTCCGAAAATTCTCTTTCTATGTGTTCAGATTGACAAATTCCCAAGAAATAATTAATATGGCAAAACAACTTTTGTCGAGTCAGCTAGTTTGAAATAATTTTAAAACTAAAGTAAATACATACTATAAGCACGGGTTGTGCTGTTCACAGACCTTATAAACTTATAGTCCTAGTCAATTTTTCAGAAATTAATCACACATGTGTCTTATCATAAATCCGTCCGTACTGTTTAAAAATATAGATAAAAACCATACTTCACGTCTCACGCGATATTCTATAATTACAATTCGAGTTTACTGTGAATACTGTGAGGCGAGCGTGTTTCTGATTTAAAGCAAATTGAACTACGAGATTGGCTCCCGGGAACATTTCATTTGACGCCGCAACGCTTCCAATTGTCTCAGAACCTCAGACTTCGAGCTCTGTCTATTGTGCACTCCGATTTATAGAGTAGCAGCGTTATTAATATGAAACCAGCGCTGACATTCGACGCGAAACGTGCACTAGTTTTGTGAAATGCTATTGCCAGGTACGCCTGTTACGATATGGCGAGCGGCACAATACGTCAGACTTTATGACGACTTTTACGCCGGAATGAAGTAGCGACGGGAACTGGAATGGAATGGATTGCAAGCAAAAACAACGGATAGAGATCATACGAGCTAAAAGGTAATATAATATTTATTGTTAATTTTCTTCTATTAAATGAAGGGAACTATTTTACAATATTGTGATTGTAATGTCAATTTTATGTTTTAAAGTAAGGCTTAAGGATCTAAAGTTTTTTTTTAAGAGCATGGTGACAGTACCGTTTTGAAATAACTCTTTATTGTTAACATAAAAATGATATATGAATATTTAACTAATTTATAATCATGGATAGGTACGTTTTTTATTTTTAAATGATTAATATCAATGTGCTTTCCACATTTATGATATCTCCGAGCAAGGATTTTGTGTATATTTATATGGCTTATTTATGATGGGCTTCGCAAAGCCAGTTAAAATATGAATGCAATTTAGTTAACACTGAACACATTGTTTTTATATAATTACATATATTTTTAAGAACTAATCTTCAAAACAAATTTCACTGTTTAATGCATAATTATTATGTTTTATATCAATAATACCTAACGTAATGATTGAGCAATAAGCAAATATCATCACTTCACTATATTCTAAAATATATACAATATTAAAGTTAAACCAAAAGGCTTTGTACATCATGCTAAGACACACACCTGCACACCTCAACCACATGTAAAGTATACTATTAACAAAACCATGCCGGTGAAGCGACCTTGGCGTTTTTCCTCGTCCAAAATTCTTCTAATACGCCTAAATAAGCATTCACTTAAAACAAACCTATAAGTATTGATTTGTTTTTGTTTTCATTAATGCTATTTTTTTCATCATTTTCCTCATTGTTGAATTCCAATACGTATCTGTGTTTAAGAAATCAATGACACTTTTTTTTTATAAAATATTATATTATTCGTACGTATAGTATATTATATACACGTCACAAAATGTACTAAATTTTCAATCATCACAATTTCATATCACAACGATTTTATTCAGTTTCTAATTAAAACGAGACGAGTTTTAAAAATTCACAAACACCGTTCGTACAATGGCAGATATTTCATTTGCTTATTGACAGTGTTGACGTAGATTATATCCTGGAGCGGGGTTCTCGGCTAGTTTTAATTGCGGCTCCAACAAGCGCTCCCACGTTGATTTAGAGCAAATTGAATGCTCCGAGCCGGCCGCGTCTCAGCATCTAGTTGCTCGTTGCCACCTATCAATTAACCATTCGGATTGAGTATCTCGCAGCGTTAATTGCACGCGCGTCGCCGAGCGTTGCCGGGCGACCAGTTATGACGCCGTCCTAATTAACCACCGTTCGGATATTTGTCGCGTGCTCACGGGCCATATCGTTCGATAAACTGTTCGAGGTTTGCGCAATCGAGCGTATCCGAACTGCGTTAATGTCATTAGTGATCGGACTGGTTTTCGTGAGATTTTCACCGCGTTGAATTATACGTTTAAATTGTTAACCTTGTGCAGCTTTATACTAATTACAATATATGGTGGTGAATTTTGGACTTTTGCTATTTCCGCAAGATGTCACTTGATGTCTTTTGTTTTTCAATGAAAATATTATTTCCCTTTTATTTCGGATAATTTTGATGGTTTTTTTATTTTATTAATGTAAACTGGCTTATCTAATCAACACAACATCAAATAAAAAGGAGAACTGTAACCTACAAAACTAGCACTACATTAAAATAATAAAATCATAACTTATATAATATATAAATAGCAAAAAAAAGAGGAAAAAAAGTTCAAAAGAAAAAAAATATTGGGCTTTGTAATGTGCTAGCTAGTAACTTCCTCTTTAAAACATGTAAGCTATCAACATATTTTATTTTTTTATTGTTTGACATTTAAAGTAATGAACATCGACGAGACTTCAATTAATGGTTAACTTGTAGTTTATATCAACCTTTAATTTCATTGACATTGTGTTTATGTCATGCATACAATATAAAACATAGGTGTATATAGATCTATTTTTACTTATTATTAACTAATTTTTGCGTTAGCTTGCTTTGGTTCATCAATTTATTTTTGGTCCAAACTTAAACTATCACAAAGCACTCTGTCACGCGTAATTTTGTTGGTCTATCAATAAAAAGCAGCATCACCATTAACAAGCAGACTGTCGACTCTCACGTCTTTTACGTTGAATCAATTTCGCCCTTTCGCTTCTTTAGGCGCGACGACACGTGTAAATAAAGCCGGCGGAGGCTAACAAGGGCGCTGGTAGAGTGGAGCGTCACGGGCGCGCTTTTTGTGTGGCCCCCCCTCCCCCCCCCCCCTCAAATTGCAGCCGGCCCGTTAATTGGTCTGAATCGCCGGATGACTGGCGGTTTCGTGCAGTGCGAAGTGCGCGCGACATAATGACAGGGCGCGGCGGCGGCGGCGTCCGTGCTGAGTCAGCGCGTCTGAACGCCTTCGGCGCCCGTCGATGCGCACTACGCCGCGCTCGGGAGCCCTCGAGCTAACGCCGTCCGCCGCGTGTGACGCGTACCGGTTTCCGAATTTCGTAACTCTACCCCCATCCAGGAGCACAGCTGCGCGTTGTTGTCGCTTTAGCTTTACGTTCCTCGCTGAAACGGACACATTTTTTTACACAACGTTCTTTAGTTCCAAACTAAGCCATGTTTGTACTAAGAGTACTGACATAGTTAAACGCACGCATGAGCACATGCGCGGCCCTACCCACAGCGGAGGGCCCAAACCCGTGGGTTCAGGCTAGCCTACCGGTTCTGCGTCAGATGAAGCTTTAATAGTCTCGGGACTGAAAGCAAAAACATCAGTTAATACAAGATACAAGACTAGGCGTACTTTGTAAATAAATACATATTATTCATATATAAACACCCAGATACTAGAAAAACACTATGTTCATCACACAATATTTTTCCAATAGTGGGGATCGAACCCTCTGGCGCAGGAGGCAGGTGCACTACTCGCTACGCCATTCGGGTTGTCAAACGATTGAAACGTCGTAAGTAATGATGGTCTTTTAAATCTTTCGAAGTATTCTAAACACAAATACATCTGCATCTCCTTTTTTTTTCATGTCGTGCAAAAATGCTAATGTTCCTGCGGATGGTACGCTCCTTTACCTTTAATAACTCTATGATGATGTAAATTCTACTATTATCTACTTGATTATACGTGTATTATTTAAAAAGCTCACACTCTCCTAAATCTTAGTTTATAGCATTCTGTACTCTTCGGTTCGATAATAACGCGATATTGTTTTCTGTCACAAAAAATGTATATCGATCAATCTCCGAAAGAGCATTGGTTACTTGACAAATTATTTACATTCGTAAACGTAATAATACTCTGACCCACCGTTCCGCTCGCTCTCTTAAGATAATTCATCGTCGGCATTGTTTTATTTTCGTATCTAACGCATCCGGCGCGTAGTTCTCGTTTGCGCCTTGTCAGCGCTACTGATTCTATCACAGGCCCCTAATTGCCCATATTTTGTTAGCGATAATGTGGCATTGAATTAACAAGTGGAAAATTTATCTTGGTGGAACTAAATGTAGCGCCGATTTACATTTTATTGTTTTTGATTTGCTCGTCTTCCGAAATGGTACCTGGCGTTATGAAAATATAAAAAAAGTAAAAAAAAGTTAAGTAACAGCCTATACATGTCCCACTGCTGGGCAAAGGCCTCCTCTATACAGAGGGTATATGAAAATATATTTTTCATAAAATCAATAACAAGAATGTTACTTACTTTCCAGGTTTTAAAATTCCGCTCTTCTCATTTTAAAATCTTGAAAGCGATGAAAAATAAGAACTTCAATCGAATTGCAATTTTGCATTCACAAAAATGTCATTAGATGCGTTCACAGACTCAACGTAATAATATATACTATCTTCTTCTTGGCGACGTTCTATCCTATCGGTTGTCGGCGACCACCACAAGGAATAATACTTCAATATATATACTATAAGAAGATACTATAACAATATAATAGAAATAACGCAAATGTGTAATAATGGAATCTTCCAAAAATTAAGCGTAAGGTAATTTTCTCCGGCTTCAAGAACATTGATTAAATCCAGCCTTTGCACTCTAATTAAGAGCGATAACAATACTGGTGTTAAATAAAATCTTTATTATTAAAAATACATTTAATCGATCTTTTTTGATAAGTTTTTTTAATTCGCTCAATTTCTATTCGTGTTTTTCCAGTGTCTGGGTGTTAATATATGTATAATATGTATTTATTTACGAAAAGAAAAGTATGTTTAAGTAAATTTATCAGTTGTCTTAGTACCCATAGTACAAGAGTTGCTTAGTTTGGGACTATAGAACGTTGTGTAAAAAATGTGTCCGAATTATATTATTTGTCTTTTATACATGTTATGTTTATTTTTTTACATGTAAATATTTTACATTATTTAGTTTGTTTTATAACGGGGTTCACACCACATTGAGTCATGCACATTTTTACGGGGCTCTGCGTAAGTTCTCACGCGCTCATCAGATTGTCACGAGAGTGGGCCGAAACCAGATAGACTCGGCTGTGGTACAAGTCATAAACTAAAGGAGCCAGTTGTTGCACAAAGTTATCGTTTGAGTAATCAAAGTTAACTAGTAGTTCACTAAAAATTACAATATTTTATTGCTCTCCTCTTCTATAACTTCCATCTGTTGCTGTATCTTATTTTGCCGTACTTGCTATTGTTTTACGATAGAACAGGCGGTTCTCGTGAAGTGAATCTTAGCCTATGGACAACTAAAATACCTGTGCGGCGGCAGATGCGTTGCCATAATTTGAATCGTTGGGCCAGAATTAGTTTCTTCACTTAACAGACGGAATGCGTAATTGCAAATACTTCCACTTTACGTCGGTCATCTTTTAGACGTTGTCCATACACAGATGAGTCTCTCCATCCGTGCAACAGCGAAAGCATATGCGATAAGTAATGTATAGTTTAAATCTTTACTATCGTGTTTCTTTACGGATAAATGCAAATCTTTCTCAATGAGAGAGTTTAATATTTAGGTATTCGAAATTTAAAAATTATATACATAAATTGCTGAGAAAAATTTCTTTCGCTGAAGCCATTATTTGACCCTGTGCTGTATGGCTACTTTACTTTTTTCAAATATCCTTATACGTATAATTGTGTACCTTATCATAGGATATGGTTTGCTCATTTTCATAACGAAGAACTATGGAACTTTTGTATATATACGGTATTTGCTTTCGTTATAATGAATTTATTCCGAGACTGCTTGTTTTGGTTTTAGTATAAAGCCACACAGTATCTCATGACTCACTCTCTATATATATCATGCATCGGATGTATGAAATATTGGATAATAATTTTGTCGTTGGTTGGTCGCGTGTGTTTATACACTAAATCAGTTATCTTTTGTTTGCTGATCGTGAATGTTGCGCACAAATTGCTTTTAATGATTAAATATGATTACAATGAAATGTTAAAATATTAATGTGATCAGCGAAATTATTTGGTATTCTAAACAAAACAGATTTACGCTTACCGACTGTTTATAAATTTATTAATTGTTATGTACTAAACATTAACAAAATAACATCATAGAAATAGAAATTATGTTTCCGCCTGGGACGATTTATTTATTAATTAAGATTGATATGACTTGACAAGTTTAATGGTTGAATACTAGTTAACATAGTCTAAATAACGGCATAGATTTATATCAATCACATCGTCGTTTCGAAGAGCTTGCGTACTTTTTTAAAGTCAGTTTGTAGCAAATGAGGAGGTACCGAAGTACCGTACCTACAACAAATAAATCTCTGATCCCAACACTTACACCCCTCTAGTTTGTACTTGTTAGGTATTTGACGGCGATCTCGGCATCAAACACTCGTCCGTGGGTAGGCTACGTGTGTAATGACGCGATCGCTTGATGGCGATAACAATAGATAAACATTGAGGCTTGTTTTGAATAAGCGATTTGTAAGTTAGGCGTGAAGTGTGTACTCGCAGTTCCGTCTATGTTTGGGTACGACGCTCTCTTAGAATTTAGTTTGTTCCGTATCTTTGCGTTTTATATTTTTCTATAAGGTATAAGTATAACGAGGTTAATATTATAAATACATTTTTTAACAAACGATAAACGGTGAGGTCTTTGGTTGAAAGAACTCATAATAAAACTATTTCCAACACTGTCCCAATTTCGATCACTGGGTGACCATTACTTTTGTTTGGAATTTGACCGTAATATGAGTATTAGAATTACGGTCGAATTTCTTTTTACTTTGGAGAAAATCTCCTCTAAGGCGACTGGTTTAGCAACACAACGATAAAAAACGATCAAATAAATTTTAGCTTTCTGTACTGCCTCTCTATATAAACTTTGGCTAAGGCAAATCTCAAGATCCTTCATGCGATATGCTTAAGAAGGAAACAAAGTCTTTTCTTAAAATATTTAGTAGAGAAAAAACTAAATCCTCAAAGATGATGAAAAATATGAAAAAATGTTTCCAGAAGTTTGTAATTATATTTTTATTTGCGACTTTTGGCTGAAATGTTTTTAGAAGTACCACAATTTCGAAAAAATTTGTCCCTTCAGTCATCGCAGTATGAATTGGGAAAAAACTATGTGACTGTTACCTATCAACCCACCATTCAAATCTACCGTACAGAAACGTTCTAGTTTATAATATAAATAGGATTAAACATTAAAACAAATTTCCAAAAATAAAATAAAAACCCTTTAATTAATGTATAATAAGTTGTTGCGCGCTCTGTCCGAACGTGTAATTGAATATGAAACTTTATAAATAATATTAACACTCTAACAAGTAAAGCTTGTTTTCTGTGATTATTATCTGAAGGTTTAATAAGATCTAAATCTTAAACACAATTGAATGTCACTCTCGGTACACCAAATGGTTGTGTATCGCTATACGGTAAGATTTAAAATTCACATTTCTCACAAAACGCCTTGAAGTTCATCGGCTCCCGACGAATGTATGCGCATGATTTAAAAGGCATCGCTGCGCCCGGCTGGACCGGTGATGTCTGCAGTCGACTCCGGAGGCACTTAATGTGGCCCTCGTTTAAGTAAACAAGCCCCGCGTCCGAGCGTAGGCTCCGTGTCTTGTTTTTATCCGTCTAAGTCCGCCGCTGCACGCTTGTTATCTTGTTATCCTATCTCTGCGAGACTGTGCCTTTTTGTGCGGATTTGCGTGATGTATGCATACGCAACTCTCTTTATACTTTCCACCGCGTATATAGAGTTTTTGGTCCGGCCTTAATATTTTAAGCTAGTTCAGTTGAGGAATGTATCCTGGGACTGGATCTCAACAACTTGTCTCTATTTCAGTTATCATATAGCATATCCATAAAGCGTGTACAATACTACTGTGATAGTATTTTTGACTTACTTTTTATTATTTATAGGACGAGATTAATATATTTTTCGAGTCTCAGTATTTTACATGTCATACTTTGCCTTGCGGCACCAACTCGTTGTGGTTTGAATACAGGAAACCTCGTAACCACGGCATCAGGCATCATAACTTCACTACCTTGATTGGTATACTCGTAAATCTAATGCGAATGAAAATGAAATAGGAGATTTTAGACCTTACTCGTAAACGTATTCTGTGTGCTAGCCTGCAGAAAACATTATTCTTAATCATAACATATAATGTAGGTGATTATCATGAAAGTATTTATGTGAAGAAGGTTGTACAGGGAAAAAGTTTATAAATATTCTGGTAAATGGTTTATTAGCACTTATAAGGTAAACTAACACATATATATAATGGTATGGTAATGGTATAAAATGGTATAAAGAATACGCGGTATAAAAATGGTATCTGGTATTGGTTATGGTTGGACGGTGGCGAGGCGCGTCTTAAATTAGGCATGAAACGTACATAATTACACGAGTTTAATTTGCCTATGATGCACAAAGTGACAATGTCGCTGTTCGGTCGCGTAACTCCGAACATTATGACATCCTGTTATAAATTAGATCTTATTTTGAAACGTAACTTAACAAATTTACATTAAAGCCTTAATAAAGTTGTATTATTCCCGTAATAAGCAGCAACACAGCCTGTGTTGTACATTTGGGTAATAGTACTGGAAGCAGTAACTGTCATGCTGCTAAGCGTGGTAAATGATATAAAAATCTTTTTCTCCACACCGCCCCTTTCAGAGTAGCGTAGGAACCCGCCAACCGTTTTCCGCTAAGTTAGCTTCTCATTACTTTTCTTTGAAAATAAGTTAGCTTTTATAACCAACCGGCGACCGAGAGAGAAAATCTGTTACAATGATGGCTTTCGGCTTTTAACCGAGGTGCCCGACGTACCGGACGTAATCTTTAAGCTGGTTTTCTTTTATTCACAAACAATTATTTCGCAGGATTCCTTTAGAGGTGAGGTTTAACGATCGTGAACGTTTAATGATCGGGCGAAGTCTGCACTGGCTTTCACAAATTTCGTCCAAAGTATAAGCGAATATTTCTGATTCAAAATCATGTGTTTAAATGTTCTACATAATTAATAGTTTTTTTTTTGCATACAGTATTATCGGCATGCAATTATTATGTAAGTTACATTATACATGTATAGGATTGAGCTTTTATGGAGTAGTGGCGGAGTGAGCGTGGCTCAATTATGCCGGTTAAGCTACAAGCGAAGGATATATTGCCCTTCCTTGGAAGGCGAGTAACAAAGTTAGATTTGAACAACGTGCTACCAAGCTTGCGTATGAAATCAATTTTTACTTACAATGGAAAACCGGTTAAGAATACAAGCCTAAAGAGTACGTGATAGATTAAAGGGATGGTACTTTAGTTAACTGATCTACATTTAGGCGTATAAAATTAAGATTGTGTATATAAGAACATTAGATGATGGAAGACAGAACAGAATTCGATTCGAGGTAACGTCCGTTTTGTTCAAAGAGAGGTAGTAAAATTTAAAGATTACGAAGTTGCAGCGTTAATTTTAACCTATTTTTAACGGGACTTAGTTGGATCGTGAGTTATTCTCCCATTGAATTTATTACCCTCGTAGGGTCCAAACGTCCTATAAAGCCATTCCGTCCGGAGACGCAACTGACCATCCTAATTACTCAACTCGTTCTCCCATCGCGGCTCTAAGCGCGGTGCTTTACAACAAATTTGGTTAATGTATGCGAGTATAAAAGATTAAAAGTGATTAACGAGCGGCCGTGCCCGATAGTAAATGATTATTATTGGTCAATAAACACTTCAAGCTTTCCTACAAAGAAACGAGATGTAAATTCGTTATCATATCAGAGAATTTAAATAGGATAAGAGATCATTATCGTTACTTAGTTTGCCCATTCGTTATAGTCGTGTACAGTTCGTAGCATCGCAGTTAATGAGACTAAAGCTTAGGAAGCTGCCGCTACGCGAATTCAATAAATATCAAGCAAGTGCTTTGTCACATAGAAAATCGAAAACTGTGGCTAAAGATTATTACATTATTTATATAGAAATAGTTTTAGTATTACAGTCGTGTAACGATAGAGATAACGGTGGTCCAGTCAAAAAAGCTACCGAAATACCCAGTCGATAATTAATAAATATGGGGTTAACGCCTGGACCTTCCTCCTTCTTCATAAAACAATTTACTTAATTATAGATGAACGAAACTTGCAAGAAAATAAAAAAAATTATTAGCATTGTTAGTCCACATATTTGTATGATTTTTCGGACTGTGAAAAAATGTACTCTCATTTTTTTGAGCTCTTCAGCTCTTCATATGTCAATATTCTAGAACTTTGTCTCCAGTATCCTGGTGTTATCAGTTACAGTGTGTGTTTATATAGTGTGTTGATAAATTGTAATTTCTCAACATCAATGATTTTTAGCACAAGTACAAAAACTACTCACAGTAATTACTTATCAAGTGATAAAAGGCTTACATATTCATATTTCCCAGTCTTCTCCGTTTTATAATTAAGGTAGATAACTTTATATCAGAAGCTTAAACGAACCATCAACCTGTCACTAACGACAGCGATTCCGCACTGAAATTGCCCGACGGCATTTGCATAGCGCATTCGTTAACAAGACACGTTCGCCTACAATTGCGTTCGGCGAAAGAACCCTACTCAAACAACCCATTTCTATTTCAGCTCGCAAGCTCTTGTTTAATGTTCGGCCCGTACAACCGCGTCGGCTAACACTTAACGCTTTTTGCATACGAAAAGCGTCCCAACGTTTACCTTCTACTGTCTCTTGTTATTGCGCCGTTCATTATTCACTTCACGTCGAGTCGAAGGTCGCCCTTCTGGTCGAGATAACGGACTGTGTTGTTTC